GGTGAAAGTTACCTGCCAAAGGTAGTAACCTTAAACTGCAATAGAAATAATCCTCTGGGCTAGAGATGCCAAGGTTGTACCCAAAGTTTCCAAGGCAGGGTAGCCCTTAGCCCTGTGTCTGTGTCCCTGTAAAGGCCCTAGTCTTCTTTGACTGGTGTGTTGGTGACCTGTAAAGTTTGGGCATGGGCAGAGCAGGCCGCAGGGCCCAGCCTGGCTTCCTATGGAAGCCAGCAAGTTTCCTGCAAAGAGGAAGTTCTGGCTTGAAGGCCTCGAGGACAGTGAGAGAGCCCTTCTCTAACTGCAGCGGTAAGGAACTGCTCATCCATCCTATTCCATATAAAGGGACCCCTAGTGTTTCCTGGGCTGACACAGAGAAGAACGATTTATTTCTCAGCTATAGTTTTCTGAATTGGCAAGCTCAGGCTGGAGTGGGGAAAGCAGATCCAAGACAATCATGTGATGGAATTACACCTGCTGAGATAAAGCACAGTGCCGCTCCCCAAGCAAACATTCTTGCAGACTCTACACTGCAAACTCGGCTCAGGAGGTGCTGGACTAATTTGTCTTTTGCCAACTAAAGGCAAATGCAGGGGGGCAGAGCCTGGCAGCTTCTCCTGCTGCCTGGTGATTTGAGGATCACTCTGTTTCCCTCCCCCCTCCACCACTCTCCCACTGATGCCTAAATAACAGGTACAAATTTGCTCCACTTCGCCAAGGAGCAAGGAAATGCACATCTCTTTACTTTTTCAAATCAAGTGGAATCATGCTCTGAGCCCCACCTTGCCCTGGCTGGTACAATCCCCAATTTTAATGATTATTGAAATCCTCTCTTTTCTGTTGAGCTATACTAGAATCCAGGGGCCTGCTTGGTAATGGAAAAGTGGGCAGGGGATTGAGTTAGCCAGTACAATAGCCACCATTATTAATGTTGCTTCTTTTGTTATGTGTGACACAGCTGTTGGACTAAAAGGTTTCCCCTCAAAGTGCCTACTTTGCCTACAGGCTCTGCCACAGTGACCCTTGTCGATGTTTTCAAGGTCATATAGTTAGAGATTGTCTTTGAGGTATTAGTCATGTGCCAAGTTTGGGTGCTGGTGGTGGTAGAAGGAGTGCTGAGGAAACTTTAGATCTCCCTGTAATCTAGGTCAGCATCTCCTGTTCTTTGTTATATGTAGTTAATATTTTCTCATTTTCACGTATGTAGCCATATAAACAGCTTAGAGCATCCTCCACCCCTCCCGGCCTTTCAACCAGATTGCTGCCGGTAAACCTCTCCTACAAAGACATTCTGACTACCAGGCACCAAATGCTCCCCTAGGCACCTGCAACCTCCAGAGCCCTTTACAGAAAAGGCACAAGTCTCTATTATTTGAGGATGCCTCTCCTTAATGTCCTCCCAGACTTATAGAATCCATTCCTCTCTCATCCACAAAGCCCTAGCTTCTCTCTACCCAATCCCCACCTTATCCTCTGGGGCACTGCTATCTAATTTCTTCCTGGGCCTGACCCTTGAATTATAGAGAAACCATTAGCTAACTGCTGCCACCACCACCCCCAAGACAAAATGAGCTAAGACTGACCACTAAACACAAAGCCTTGGCTAACTGGGAAGCTAGGAGGTCAGTGAAGAGTAACATAATTTTTTTTTTTTCCAACCAGGCCCAATGACTCACACCTGTAATCCCAGCACTTTGAGAGGCTGAGGTGGGTGGATCACCTGAGGTCAGGGGTTCAAAACCAGCCTGGCCAACATGGTGAAACCCCATCTCTACTAAAAATACAAAAATTAGCCGAGTGCAGTGGCAGGCGCCTGTAATCCCAGCTACTTAGGAGAATCGCTTGAACCTAGGAGGCGGAGGTTGCAGTGAGGAAAGATCGCACCATTGCACTCCAGCCTGGGTGTCATGAGTGAAACTCCATTGCAGAAAAAAGAAAAGAAAAAGTTTTTTTTCCTACAGCAGAAAGAAAAAAAAAAGTCTCATTCGATTATCATCATTTGATTATCATTCTGTTACCAGAGTCATTCCTTTGGGTGAGACATTGCTGCCTCCAAGGGATCCCATATTAGGATGTCCCCTTGGGAGGGGTAAGGAAGCATGGCTAACACCTGACTATGAAGAGGTTCACCTGACACTTCCTGACATGGCAGGTGGGAGAGTATGGGTAGGGGAATTGGGAGAGGACTGCCTTTCCTTGCTTTATACCCCTGTCCAGTGGCTGGCTTTGTGGTTGGCTCCATCGGGTAGGACCCACCAGGAAACCTTCTCTTCTTTCCATTGAAGACAAGCATGCAAGTTTTCTGTGGTTTGTTAGGACTGGGCCACCACATCCTCAGCAAGCAGCAAGGTGGGGTGATGATCTCCGATATCAAACCACCTGGGAGTTACTGCTGTTTTGTAAAAACAAAGGCCCAAAGGTAAAATTTAGAGAGAGCAGGGTATGGAACATATCTGGGTATGGAACAAGCTCACGTATCTGGCAGAGGCACTGAGGCCACTATTGCTGGCCTTGTTCAGTGCCACCTGGGTGGGGGTCAGCAATGAGTTCATTCAACTCATGTGGTCAGGGGCAAGCACTGGGACAAAGTTGTCCCCAGAAGAGGTAAGAACCAGAAGGCAGCTTCTGGGTCTCATCTGGATTAATAAAAGCCCTGAGCACTGACTCTGGCAGGAGCCAGTTTCCTTCACTTACTAGGTGGTGGCCTTGGGGATTTACTTATGTTCTGTGACTCAGTGTTCTCATCTCTAAAATGGGGATAATATATCCACTCCATAGAAATGTTGCAGGGCTTTGCACTTGGAAGAGTACTTGACACACAGCAAGTATTATACAAATGTCAACTGCTGTAGTTACTGTTGTTGCTGTCTACAGAAGCCAGGTGTGGACCACAGAGCCAGAAGCCTTGGGCAAGTCTCCGGAGCTGAAACTAGAAAGAATTATTTATACCAGTTCCCATCCCGCCTAGGGCTACAGATGAGATAACAGCTGTAAAACAGTCTCAGCTTCCCTGGGGGGGACAAAATATCCAGATTCACTTCCAGAATACACGGAACAGAGGCTATTTCTTTTAGGCTCTTCAGCCTAAGCAGATTTTACTCTTGAGGTACCCCCTTGATGACTGTGATTTGAGGGTCCCCCACACATCTCCATCATAGGCTTGCCTCAGTATCTAAAATTTTCTTCAGGGCTTCCAGTTCAGAAGATGTAATAATCCATTCTACAGTCATACCGTCTGTGTGTAAACTCTGGCTGTGTCACTCACTAGCTGTGTAATCTTCGAGAGGTTACTTAATGTCTGCACCTCAGTTTCTCATCTGCAAAAGTGAGGGTAAAGACAATAGCCTCTTGATAGAGGCAGAGTGTGAATCACAGAAAATAGTGTGTGTGAAGGTTTAGCAAAGTGCCTGGTACACCCTGCACCGGTGGTAATGTTGATTTGACTAGAGGAGGCATAAATTCACAATTTAATAGTGACCACTGGATGAGCTTAGAGGACATGATGTTAAGTGAGGTAAACCAGGCACAGAAAGACAAACACCACATGATCTTCACACATACATGAAATCTAAAAGAGTTGATTTCATAGAAGGAGAGAGTGGAATAGTGGTTACCAGAGGCTGGGGAGGGTGGGGAGGGGAGGAAAACGGGAGAGGTTGGTCAACAAGTAAAAAGTTACATTTAGGAAGAATAAGTTCTAGTGTTCTATTACATGGTAGGGTGACTGTAACTAATAACAATGCAGTACCTGTTTCAATATAGCTAGATTTTGAATGCTATCATTACAAAGAAGTGTTTAAAGTAGATGGGTATAGTAATTACCTTGAGTTGATCATTATACAGTGTATACATGCATTGAAACATCACATTGTACTCCATAAATATGTGTAATTATTTTGTGTCAATTATAAACAAAAATGAACAAAAATATTTATTAAACCAAAAATACTCAATTTTTAAACACTTTATAATAAAAATTATCACAGGTACAAAAATGTTGAAAAACTAATACCAGTAACGCCTTTAAACACATAATTTATTCTTTTTCATTATTATTATTATCATCGTTTTTTGAAATAGGGTCTCATTTTGTTGCCCTGGCTGGAGTACGGTGGTGCCACCTCCCCAGGCTCAAGTGATCTTCCTACTTCAGTCTACAGAGTAGCTGGAGCTACAGGTGCGTGCCCAGCTAATTTTTGTGTTTTTGGTAGAGATGGAGTTTCTCCATCTTGCCCAGGCTGGTGTTGAATTCCTGTGCTCAGGCGGACAGCCCCACCTTGGCCTCCCAAAGTGCTGGGATTACAGGCGTGAGCTACCACACCTGGCATCATTTACACTGAATAATTGTTTTATCTATGTCTTCGCCATTTTGTTTTTTTGCTGTTATTGGAGGTTTTCTTGTGCTATTATTTTACTGTTTTGTGAGTACATATATTTACCCCTTAACAATTTGAAAAAAAGTTGCAAGCATCATGACACTTTTTCCCTAAATACTTCAGCATGTGGTTACCCCAAATAAAGACATTCAGGAGAATCACTGTTACCACATCTACAATAACTGATAATGATTCTTTAATAATAATATTATTATTATTTTGAGATGGAGTTTTTCTCTTGTTGCTCAGGCTGGAGTGCAATGGTGCCATTTCAGCTCACCACTACCTCCACTTCCCAGGTTCAAGAGATTCTCCTGCCTCAGCCTCCTGAATAGCTGGGATTACAAGCATGTACCACCACACCCAGCTAATTTTGTAATTTTAGTGTAGACGGGTTTCACCATGTTTGTCAGGCTGGTCTTGAACTCCTGACCTCAGGTGACCCACCCACCTTGGCCTCCCAAAGTGCTGGCATTACAGGCGTGAGCCACTGCAACCAACTTCTTTACTATTATTTAAATAACTATTATTACTGAGTCCATATTCACAGTTTTTCAGTTGCTCCCAAAATGTCATTTAGAACTGTTTTTTCCTATTAGGAACCAATCTTTTCACTGACTTTTGAAGAGACCAGGTCCTCTGTTTTACTTTTGGGATTTGTCTTGCTGTTTTCTTGTGGTGGTGTTTTTAGTGAAGTTTTGAAGAAGGATGAAACAATCTGGAGCTTGAGCCGGAATCCCTGGGTTGCCCCAAGGACACATGCTCTACTGCCCATTGAAAATGAGGGAAGAAACCAATAAACAAGCCAAAGTCATTTTCTTGTTTATTGCAGTAAAACATACATAACATAAAATTCACCATTTTAGCGATTTTTAATTGTACTATACAGTTCAGTGGCATTAAGTACATTTATGGTGTTGTGCAACCATCATCACCATCCATTTCCAGAACGTTTTCATCTTCCCCAGCTGAACCTCTCAGCCCATTCAGCGTGAACTCCCCATTCTCCCCTCCTCTCAGCCCTGGCAACCACTATTCTACTTTTTGTCGGACTGAGCACAATGGCTCATGCCTCTAATCCCAGCACTTTGGGAGGCCGAGGCGGGTGAATAACCTCAGATCGGCAGTTCGAGACCAGCATGATCAACGTGGAGAAACCCCGTGTTTACTGAAAATACAATAAATTAGCCAGACGTGCGCCTGTAATCCCAGCTACTTAGGAGGCTGAGGCAGGAGATCTCTTGAACCTGGGAGGCGAGGTTGCAGTGAGCCAAGATTGTGCCACTGCACTCCAGCCTGGGTAACAAGAGCGAAACTCTGTCTCAAAAAAAAAAAAAAAAAAAAAAAATAGGAAAAAAGTACCTTTTGTTTTTGTGAATTTCAGTACTCCAGGTATGTTACACACTACCTGTCCTTTTGTGATTGGCTTATTTTGCTTAGCATGATGACTTCAGAGTTTATCCATGTTATACCATGGTCAGCATTTCATTCCTTTTTAAGGCTGATTAATAATTAATTATATGCATGGAACACATTTTGTTTATCCATTCATCTGCTGACTGACACCTGGGTTGCTTCCACCTTTTGGCTAATGTGAATAATACAGCTATGAACATGGGTTTACAATTTTCTGATTGCATCCCTGCAAGGCATACTCATTTTTACCTTATGTTGTGGGACCAGCCCTCATGCAGCCTCTGATAACTGGTAAATTTAGAAATCATGTTTTACATCTGCATGATTCTCTCCCTTTTACCAAAATCTATCATGAAACAACTCTGTCAGTCTTGCCATTATCTGGGTTTACAACCATCTATACCAACAATAGAAATGTGGGCACAACTCACAGCAGGTGTTTCTGCATTGCTTAATGTGGTAAGTTTACTGATTATACCATTATGGAGTAAGAAGACAAACATTGCAAGCTTTTAAAGCTAAACTCAAAGGCCAGAGTTGCCTTTCTAAATCAACCTAAAGAATGTTTAATCTGTTAGGCTCCCATACTTCAGAGGAGTAGCCTATTAAATGCACTTATTCCAAGATTTCAAATGTGCACATGTGATTTATATCTAGCCATCCACAAAGTATGAGAGGAAGCAGGGCAAAGTAGAATGAGCTCTGAACTGGATAATGTGGAGATGGGGATCCAGCAACTGGGCCCTGCTGATAACCATGTGATCTGGGGCAAAGCCTCAACTTTATCGTGCCTGGGTTTTCTTGTCTGTCAATTGGGAAGCTGGCTTATAGCCCTCAACTGCTATGATTGCCTGAGCTACATTTTATTTATTATTTTTTGCAGAAGTCTGTAATAGGCAGGTGTGGAAAGGGGGAAGCCCTGAAGTTGAGGTCATATCTTAGTGAACACAAATTAGTTGGGTGACCTCGGATAGATTCTGTAATTTTATGAGCCATATTTTCTCAAAAAATTCTTCTGCAAAATGGGCATGGTAAATGCTGTAGAGCAGTAATGAAAATGGTAAGTCATAAGGTATGACGAAAGAGCTTTGGAAATTTCAAGGTGCTATATTGTCACATGAGAGTGATTACGTGGTGACTTTTTTTTTTTTTTTTTCCTTGAGACGGAGTCTGGCTCTTTCACACAGGCTGGAATGCATTGGTGTGATTTCGGCTCACTGCAACCTCTGCCTCCTGGGTTCAAGCAATTCTCCTGCCTCAGCCTCCTGAGTAGCTGGGACTACAGGCATGCACCACCATGCTCAGCTAATTTTTGTATTTTTAGTAGAGACAGGGTTTCACCATGTTGGCCAGGATAGTCTCAATCCCTTGACTTCATGATCCCTCGCCTTGGCCTCCCAAAGTGCTGGGATTACAGGCATGAGCCACTGCACCAGGCTACATGGTGATTTTAAACTGTGAAGCGTTCTACAAATGTAAGGGACTAGTAGGGACCTTGTAAGCATACTTAGTAGGACTAAATTACTATTGTCCTAAGTAAGGGCACTAATCTTACTGACTTATACAAACTCAGTATTTTACAGTAAAAGTAGATTACGGCCAGGCGTGGTGGCTTGCACCTGTAATCCCAGCACTTTGGGAGGCCGAGTGGGGCGGATCACCTGAGATCAGGAGTTCGAGACCAGCCTGGCCAATATGGCAAAACCCCATCTTTACTAAAAATACAAAAATTAGGGCTGGGTGTGGTATCTCACACCCATAATCCCAGCACTTTGGGAGGCAAAGGTGCGCGGATCACCTGAGGTCAGGAGATCGAGACCATCCTGGCCAACATGGCAAAACCTCATCTCTACTAAAAATACAAAAATTAGCTGGGTGTGGTGGCGCATGCCTGTAATCCCATCTACTCAGGAGGCTGAGGCAGTAGAATTACTTGAACCAGGGAGTTGGAGGTTGCAGTGAGCCGAGATCGCGTCACTGCACTCTAGCCTGGCAACAGAGCGAGAGTCTGTCTCAATCAATCAATCAATTAAAAAAATTATAGATTATAACTCCCATTCTCCTCTCCCCAGAAATCAACTTTTATTGGCCCTGGGTATTTTCTGAAATTGCCGGGGATATTGTGGTAGGTCCTTCCCATCTCTATTTTATAAACTTTCATCAGCTGTTTGAAATGCTTTCTTTCGCTCGAGAACTTGTTGCAGCATATCTTGTTTCAGCAACCCTCCAGTCTGCCAGTGGAGCTTTGGTTTTGCCAGTTGTGATGACTCTGAAGCTTTGTCAGTTCTTTTTATTCCTGGAACACTTGATCATGTTGAGTTGCACATTGTTTTAACCCCTGAAGAGTAGATTCCCAGGCTTTGCTGTGTTTTAGTCTACGATTTAGCCGTGGTTGTTTCAACAAGTGTTCCCTGCCAGGGCTTCAAATAGCCCCTGTCAACAGTTGTTCCCTCTACCCTTTACAATAGCACAACCCTCTTTTCTAAGGAACATGCTGTGATTTCAGTTCAAAGAGGGACTATTTGAGGGAAAGAATCCAGGAATTCATGAGCTCAGAATTAAGCTAATGACTCAATGGATCACAGATTGCTTTAGAAGCTGGGTGTGGTGGCTGTAGTCCCAGCTACTCAGGTGGCTGAGGCAGAAAGATTACTTGAGCCCAGAAGTTCGAGGCCAGCATAGGCAATATAGCAAGACCCCCATCTCAAACAAACAAACAAACAAACACCCCAAATTGCCTTAGGATCAAGGGTAATATGCAATGCTAAACAATTAGTATGCATAGGAATCACCTGGAATTCAAAATAAAAGTACAGATTTCTGGACCTGACCGCAGATATCCTCTGATTAAGAAATTCTGTCCTCATAAATGAGACCAAAAGGAAAAGAAAAAGAACTTCTAGAGTGGATGATGAGGTTCAGGACACACTACCTTGGCATAGCGAACATTTTAAACTGAAGGAATTTGAGACATGGCAGGTACAGAAAGGACTTTCTTTTCTTTTTGAGATGGAGTCTTGTTCTGTCACCCAGGCTAGAGTGCAGTGGTGTGATCTCGGCTTACTGCAACCCCTGGCTTTGGGTTCCAGTGATTCTCCTGCCTCAGCCTCCCGAGTAGCTGGGATTACAGGCACACACCATCATGCTTGGCTAATTTTTGTATTCTTAGTAGAGATAGGATTTCACCATGTTGGCCAGGCTGGTCTAGAACTCCTGACCTCAGGTGATCTGCCTGCCCCAGCCTCCCAAAGTGCTGGAATTACAGATGTGAGCCACCGCACTCAGCGTGAGTCTCCATTTCTTTATGAAGGCTGCCATGCTTTGTTTAAAACTTGTTGTTTAAAGCTTACACTTATTAAATAAATTTGTATGCTTTTCTCTTGTAAACCTGTCTTTTGTTACAGGGGCCCGAGACAAAAACTCAGAAGGGTAGAGAAAAGCCGTTTTCTCTCCCCTACACTTGGATCATTTTACATGTGTTCCTGAGTGATTCTGATGCACGGGGTCCACATTTTTAGAAACTTGGTGGAGAGCACTGGTTCTCCTACTATTGTAAACAAGTTGACTGGACAGAACACAATTTACTTTGTTTCAGCCTCCACCTTCACAAATGGCTATAAAAGCAGTTACCACCTTTCCTACCTCACGGGTTCAAAATAAGAATACAATGAGATAACAGATCCAAAACCTTTTGTTTGTTTGTTTGTTTGTTTTGAGAGTCTTGCTTTGTTGCCCAGGCTGGAATGCAGTGGTGATATCTCGGCTTGCTGCAACCTCCACCTCCTGGGTTCAAGCGATTCTCCAATCTCCTACTCCCAAGAAGGTAAGATTACAGGCGCCCGCCACCACACCTGGCTAATTTTCTATATGTAGTAGAGATGAGGTTTCACCATGTTGGCCAGGCTGGTCTCAAACTCCTGACCTCAGATAATCTGCCCACCTCAGCCTCCCAAAGTGCGGGAATTACAGGTGTGAGCCACCGTGCCTGGTCTCATTTTGCAAAGTAAAGGGCTCATGCTAGTGCGGGGCACCCTTATCCTTCTCAGCATTCTTTTGCATCAATGGAGCAGACCCCAGCCAACAACCCTTCTTGCCCTGACCCCCATAGACACTTCCAGGTATTCACTTGAAGGGATGAAAGCCTCGAGGACCTGCCTTTTGTCCACCTGGTCCAGATAGGCTGACATATATTTATGCCTTTCCAAAAAGAGTATGACAGAAACAACACATTTCTGTGTGAAATCTTACCAACCCAGAATCTGGGATGACTCTCCTACTAGGCCTAAGTCTTCCTTGAAATCTAGGCACATCTGCATCTTTAATGATCCCATTAACTTCATTTTCCACAGTGTCACATCATTCCTGGGCCACACTCTATTGCACATGTGTCTTCTCTGTGAGCCAGGGCTTATACCTGAGGGCTTGTAGTCAGCATCCACCCCTCATGCTTTGGCTGTGTTCCCAGGTACAGTGTGTACCTCTTGAAGTTTAGAGTGATCAACTTCACATTAATCTTTTCTCCCTCACTGTATTCTAATCCCCTTTTGGCAAGAACCTGTTCCAAGGTATTCTCCCCTTTTTGGCCACGGTCAGCTTGAAACAAAATAATTGGAGTATCACTTCCAGTTAAAGCACACTGCTGTTTTAGACATATTGGGCAGCCTACTGCAGGGCCCTCAGCTGTTTTGCAACTTCATTAAATATTCTGCAATGTCTGATGAGTGTCTGAGTATTTGCAATTACCCTGTCCTAAAGAGCAAAGAGGGGCATGATTTCCCTCCTAAGACCTAAAAACTCTTCTTCTTGTCTCTTTCTCATTCATTTGACAATGAATGAGACAATTATTGAGCATCTAGTATTGTCAGAGGCATGTGAACCAGAGCAACTCCATCTTGAATAGGGGCTGGGTAAAATGAGGCTGAGACCTGCTGGGCTGCGTTCCCAGACAGTTAAGGCACTCTGAGTCGCAGGATGAGATCAGAGGTTAGCACAAGATGCAGGTCATAAAGAGCTTGCTGTTAAAACAGGTTGCAGTAAGGAAGCCAGCTAAAACCCACCAAAACCAAGATGGTGATGAGAGTGACCTCTGGTCATTGCTACACTTCCACCAGCGCCATGACAGTTTACAAATGCCACAGCAGCATCAGGAAGTTACTCTATATGGCCTAAAAAGAAGAGGTATGAATAATCCACCCCTTGTTTAGCATGTAGTCAATAAATAACCGTATAAATGGGCAACCAGCAGCCCTTGGAGATGCTCTGCTTATGAAATAGCCATTCTTTTATTCTTTTACTTTCTTTTTTCTTCTTTTGAGACAGAGTCTCTGTTGCCCATGCTGGAGTGCCGTGGTGCGATCTCTGCTCACTGCAACCTCTGTCTCCTGGGTTCAAGCAACTCTTCCGCCTCAGCCTGTAGCTGGGACTATATGTGCGTGCCACCACGTCCAGCTAATTTTCGTATTTTTTTAAAAAAATAAACTTGCTTTCACTTTATGGACTCGCCCTGAATTCTTTCTTGTTCAAGATCCAAGGACCCTCTCCTGGAGTCTAGATCTGGACCCCTTTCCTGTTACGGCACTTGTCAAGCACTGGAGAGACAGTGCAAAACAGACAAAGTTTCTACCCTTATGGAGTTTACGCTGTAATAGAGAAGATAGTAAGTGAATGAGAAAACTTAAGGTAACAATAAATATTATGAAGCAAATGAGACACTACAATGTTGTGCAGAGTGAACAGGGCAGGGAAGTTGCTACTATAGACTAGGTAGTCAGGGAAATGCATCTCTGAGGAAGTGAAATTTGAGCTGAGACCTAAATGGACCAGCCTTGGAAAGACTGGACATTGGAAAACTATTACACTAGTTTTTCCCCTGTTGGCTTCTGTGGAGTTTGTTTGCTTGTTTGTCGGCAGAGAAAAGAAATCCCCAGTCTTATGCTTTGACCACAATGACATTATCATATGTTACTGCTAGGATATGTATCCGACAGCCCACCAGAATGAGTGTTCAGCCTATACCCTACCACAGCTCTATGCATTTCAAAGCATCATTTTGGTTAGTAGTGGCAAGATGATCCAACAGATTCCTCAGAATAGACTCCTAAAAGGTCTACCTCATCCAGTTAGATTAAGCAGCTTACTATAGTGTTGTATCTTAGAGCCCGAGGAAATGACTCCAGCCCCTCAAAATATCCTAGACTTTCCAGCTACGCTCTGGAGATTGAAATTCTTTTAAACCAGTTTTTCATCTTACAGTCAGTTAAAAGGTTTAAAATGTAGTACCCTCAGGAGAAGTGGCAAATTGGTCCTGTGCACACGCCATGGTTCTGAAGAGGCTACAGATTCTTCTGTAAGAAGGGAGGGGAGGGGAAGAGACACATGCTAAAGAGAACTGGAAAAGGAGATGTAGAGAAAAGCGGAAAATGGAAGAGAGAAAAGACTGTTCTTGTGCAACTAATTCCCTAAGGATTGCAACATCTCCAGATTTCTTCAGAGCTCTAAGAAGTCAGGTGTACTTGGAGCTGGTTAGAAGGGCTGGTGATGGATGTTTCTCTCTTCTGCCTCTGTCCTGAAGACTCTTTTCTACATTACAGAAAGTGGATTTCCCCATGGGACGA